GTAAAAGACTAAAGCACGTCCATTTTTTTCCTAATTTAGGTGTTGCATTACACAATATATCACATTTAAAGAAGTCAGAATGAAACCAGAACGTTATGACTGATCCAAGTCAGACTTGGCTGAGAATTTAACTTAATACCAACTCTTCTTCTTTTTTTTTTTTGATCCTTGGTGTTTGTTTTAGCGAAAAATAGAATTCTGAGCATCACAAAGTTCAACTGACTTGAAATTACAGCTCCTCATCAGCTCGGCTCCCTCTGCACATCCATCTCAGCACAAATGGGAGCTGATAATCCGTGTCTACTCCTGCCGAGCTGTGATTTTATTGCAGGCTGGGGTGGCCAGAGCAGCTGCTGCAGCCCACTCACTGCACGGAAATTTGGATTTTCTGCCATGGAGATGCTCCCTGCTCCCTCCTCAGCTGCCACCGGGACCCCTGAGCGGCGCCCACAGATGGTGCYGGTAGTAAAATCCCAAATCTGATCTGCTCCTCAGAAATGGGAAAACAGAAATATCAAATCACTCCAATCGCTTGTGCGGGGAAGAAATAATCCAAGTGAGGTTTAGCGTTAAAAGAGGAGAAAAAACAAACAAAACGCAATGGAAGTTGGCTCCTTATATTCTTATAAAAATAAAAACATCTGCCCTCACTGCCTTCCTCCCCCACACAATTCATACCCTCACAAYGCAAGGGTTTCACACCCAGATCCTCAAGATATTTAAAATATTTTAAAGGCTCCCAGGCACCTGGCTAGTTTTGATTTCTTTCAGGAGGTTTGGACATTGCTCAAGGGGAGATAAACATCCCATTTCCAGGTGTGCTCTGAATGAGATWTCAGGACCCCTGGGAATTCCCCTTTGCTACCTCTGAATGAGATTAGATAGACATAAAATATGTAAAATATTTTTTTTATCTAAAATAGATAAAATAGATAAAACAGATAAAATATATATTTATGGGGTGTTTACCCAARTAAACTGAACCTGCCACTGATTTATTGTCAGCCAAACCTAAATTCTATGATTTTATGCTTCCAGCTTTAAAAATATCACAGTGAATTCAGGGTCCAACATGACTTTTTGCTCCCTTCTTTATATCCTAATTACAGAGGACCAATTAATTCCCACGGAACATTTCTGACACTGACTTGGTG